AACCCATCGCCATAAAAAGAAGTAACATGTTACAAGATGCTCATCTGACAGATGTTTGAATTGAACTAAAGTGGCCCTTTTTTTTTAATTTCAGGAAACCATGCTTGTGTTGCAGTAATCAACAACCATGTTCCAAAATCAGACATTGATTACTATACAATACCACAGGGTCTGGAGACGGAGCCAAAGCTTCCACCAATACTTGCTGTTCCTTTTCATAAGTTTGTAATGCAGGTGAGTTCACAGTTTTTAGCCACCCTGTTCCTAAGCACCATGCCATGAGTGGAGGTAAAGTTCCGCTCACTTTTGACTTGAGCACTTGATGAATGTCAGTGGTTTGCTTCAGGCTCAAACTGCTTTACCCCAGGGACTTTCAGGTGGGCACCACGGCTGATAAGGACATCGTGGTAAAGCGAAGAATTCCCATTTCTTTCAGGAACCGAACCCTGGTTGTCCAGCCCATTGACAGTAACTTTACAAACTAAACTGTTTCAACTCATGAGCCATAAATGAACTTTTTCTCAGACAGACAATGAATACGGTGTGACACCATTAATTAAAATTATTTGGGACTAATTTTTCTGCAGTCTTTGGTATACTCAGATTTGGTCAAGGGATTTCTGTATCTCCAGGAAGTCCAACTTTCCAGTCTCGTCATTGTGACCATTCCGAGTACTGAGCATTAATGCGTTGATGTGGGCCTGATGACTCTGAAGAACGTAGGGTGTTAGGGATTCAAGTGGCTGGGGATAGTATCCAGTTGCAAGCTCTTGTGCATGTGGGAATGAACCTTTAGAGGACTCAAAATGTTGAGAATTCTTTAACAGCTGTCTCAAAAGTTGTAAAATAATGTCTGTTGTCTTCAATCTGTCTGCGTGTAACAACTTGATGGCTGAACAGATTTTTGTAGAAAGACCAATATCAACGACAATAATGCACACTTTACATGAAGACCTGCGCGCATTTCCGTGGCCGGGAGCAAGTGGATTGGTTGTCCACAGGCTATATTACCCTTGTTATACGTTCTTTGGTTGCCGTGGTTATTATGATCACCGTGGTTACCTGAGGAATATCCATCCAGCGGAACAACCACGTGATGGAATCATTCTTAAGACTTCCTTCTCTATCTAAGCTGCTTTAAACTTAATGTGGCTTATGTGTGGTAGGCGAAGACTACGTGAGCATTTGAACACGTGATCGTGGATTGCCTTGCGAGTTTCTCTTTATTTTATGCGAATGTCTCTGCTGCGCAGTGTATGGTATGCAAACATTATGGTTACTTTGCATCTTGATACCAATCGTCTGGAGTGGAAGATACGCACATAAAGGCTGTTATTTCAGTCATTGAAAATTGGTAAGCTTGTATCAGTTTTGCAACCACGGTTTACTTAATCTGGTTCTTAGTGATAAAAGATTATTTTGGAATGTTTTTCACAGTTTTAATTTAATTTGAAAGTACTGCAAGAATGATGATTAAAACACAAGTGTTCCGTGGGACACAGGTTCAGACTCACTGAGTATTCACTTAATTAGATGATATCTGCATTATGCATTTTGAAAAGTCTGTCACTCTGATCAGTTTAGTTTCTAACGAAGACTCTCTTTCCAACAGGTGAATGTACATCCTGTTCGAGTAGCCCTTAATCTTCAGAAGGCTCCATTATTGGTAGAGAATTTGGGCAAAGTACAGAAAGTACTAGAATTGATGAGTGAGCGGGAAATGAAACGAGGCATAGAAACAAATGAGGTAATGGCCTTCAAATTTCACTATCTGGCATTTATAGCGGCAGAAGTGGCGCGCTGCCGGAGCAGACAGCTGGCTGCTCAGCAGGAGAAGCACAAAGACGGTGGATACGAGAAAAAGGAGGGGGAAGAAAGGCGGTCAGATCCGGTAGAGCTGTTCGCTAGGAAGATGCTTAAATGTGGGCGCAGTGGAGATGGGAACACACCAGAATTCCAAGAGAGCTTCTTGCGAGAGTGTGTGAGGGAGTTCCCGTACCGTGAATGTACCGTGTTCAGGCAGATGGTAATGAGTCTGGCACAGCAGGATTCACCTCAAGCCCTGAGTATTATTGCTGCCGCTATAAATGGGCAGAGAGGTTTTGCTGATACCTCCACTTCATTTTGTTCGACTTGTGGGGAGGAAGGAGCACCCAAGAAGTGCTCAAAGTGCAAGGCGGTGCAGTACTGTGATCGAGAGTGCCAGCGTCTACACTGGTTCATGCACAAGAAGGCGTGTGCTCGGCTGTCGCAAGCGCCTAACAAGACTCTCTCGCTACCGACGTCCAAAATGGAAAACCTGAAGGTCAACTGAAATCAAAATGTTGCGAAGAACTTAAATCTTCGTTACTTTAGAATTTGAAAATGTAAATGTTTTTAAATGTCACTTTATTTTTGTCGATGATTGTAAATGGTTTCTAGCCAAAGTGTGGGGCATAGTGTCCAGAAATCAGTTAGGCAGATCAAGTTCTTAAAGTAAATATGTGAGAATATTTCCCAATGAAGCACATCTTTGTTTTCTGATAAGATGCCCGTAACACTTTTGCTCGACTACCGCTCGTTAACCCATCTTAATTCCTCGTAACTTCTGACGTTCTCTGTAAAGCCCAGCATGTGTGCCTAAGCAAGAGAAATAGTACTTACCAATTTTCTTCAGTATATTCCATTGTATGTTCTTTATATTTACTCTGGGATGGTTTATCAACTTTTAGTTCGACATTGTCATTGTCAATGTGAGTTTAGTTGTGGTTCGTATGTCTAAGGCAAAACACTGTGTGTTGTAACATCTGCATGTAATAGGGCAGTAAAATTATGTGAGATCACTGCGTGTTCTTTAATTTTCTGTTTTCAGGAATTCTTTTTAATGTTTTGAGAACCGTCTTCATGTTGTGACATCATTATCCGCATCATTAATGATTTTGAATAACTAACTCTTCTTCTCAGCTAATGATGTTTTTACGGAACTGTGTGTACCAGAAGTAGTTTTCCGTCATTTTTGTGCGTGAATTTCAAAAGATGGATGTTTGGACGTGTTTGCGTCCATTCGGAGTGCCTGTTAAAAATTGCAATTCTGTTTGGGTACACGAAAGAACTCGTGAGCAAGTGACTGGATTTCTATGTTATTGTGTGCATAGAAATAGAGGTGAAGCGTTAGAGCGAAGCAGTATTTCCTTTTAAATTGTTTGAGAAAAATTAAATCAGCGTTTTGTTTTTGGAAAAGTTTTGTGAGGTATTTTTATTTGTACTTCCTTCTTGTTTCGCACTGTTGCATACTGCCGGGAAGAGACTGACCGCGCGTTAGAATTGTCCGTCTCTCACGCCTCGCATAGTGTCGGGGTGTGAAGCCGTTGATATTTGGGAAGTGGGTAATTTTAAATGCTACTAATTCCTGTAATTTCACTTTGATACAGGTATTGACCCAGTGACCTCTTCTGTCTGCGGTGGTGTATTAGAGCTCTTTGTGTTCGTTCGTTGCACGTATTTATCCGTTTTGTCCAGTTGTTTCAGCAGCATTCTTACGTCTTGTTTTTGGCCTACTGTAGTATATTTCTGAATAACATCGTATTCATGTTCCTGATTCCATGGCACTTGCAGCATAATTTTGCCTTTTTTCATTCTTTCTCATGAAGACACAATCAACGTAACGCCTCAAATAACGTATCTTCATTTGCCGTTAAGATAATTCCTAATGACATCCGCATTGTGCCAAGGTTAAGAGTACATGGAGCTTTCCCTCCACGCTCTGTACACGGGGGTTGCTCACCCTTGAAGCTTTTTATGTATAATAAATTCAGCATCAGAAGTTGTCGCATTTGAGTGTTCAGGTGCTAATAATTCTAACAATTGTGGGTGGTTGAGTAGCAGCGTAGTTACATTTCAGTAATTTGTCGTGAATTTCTCTGAAACATCAGAAATTAACAGGTGCTCACATCCTATTTATGTACGGTCAATTTTAGTAGCATTCTGTCGTGCGCGCTAAGTGGTCTTTTCTCTTCAGGTTTCCTGACCAGTTTTGTATGAATAAGAAACTCAAAATATGTTTTCCGTCCACTGATCCTCTGTGTCCTGCGCCCCTTCCGTCCACCTTATTCAGAAGAAAGCTGCTGATTCTGACTTTGTACAATTTGAATGACGTTGACTGCTCACAGCCACTAGGAAAATCCAGAATTCAGTTGGTGCCAGGTGACCAACTATCCTGGATGACATTTTTATGTTTTTATTCACTTCCTCTAGTCTGATGCTGGGATACCATAAAATAGGCCACAACCACGCACATTTTTCATATTTATTTATTTATTTGTGCATGCATGGAGCAAAGTCCGGTTTAGCTATCTGATAGTCGCTCAGCTGGTAAAGGAATTCTCCAGATTTTATGGAACCAAAAATTAATTTCTGTTCTTACAGGAGCGTTCCACTGGCCCCTGCCCTGGGAAAGTCTTTAAGTTGGCCTCGGCCATCGACCCTGAATCCCTGCAATTTCGCAGTAGGCTGTGCGGTCACTGACGCCGCATGACAGCCCGCTGATTGCACTGGTGGTACTACGAACAACAAAAGTTGTCAGTGAACTGAGTACAACTTACGGGTATGGGGCAGTGGAGTTTTAGCTCCATGCTTTGGGTTTAAGTAAGTGACAGCTTCAAGCTTCGGTCGATTTACCCCCTCGCCCAGGGAAGGAGCTCCAGCCCTGATCGGCCCATAAAATGCTTGCCCAGTGGCCGATCTTTGTGTTGACCTTGAAGTCTGCCATTGCGGTTACAGGGTGACCATTACGATAATGAAAGTAGCTGGACCTAGCGATGTTTCGCCTCTGCTCGGGTCAGGCCCGGAAGTTCCGCGTGTTGTGGCGCGCGCGTTCAACTGGGAGACGCGAATCTGTCATAAACATTCGGCAAGGGCGCTGTGTTTGGGTTTGGACAGGAAGTCGTCCGGGACCCGGCGGCGGCAGTCAAAGGAGGCGGACCCGAGTGTTTGCTGACGTGTGAAAACTAGCCTCTGTTTATGGCTGCCGGCACCTAAACAGCGGGAGGGAACAGATGCACGCCGTTGGATGTTCAAGCGACGGACGAGAGTGCGCTCAGAAGACTGATCGAGACGGCTTGCGTATTAGAATAATTGAGGAAGTCGATGTGGAATGGATCTGAGGTTTTCACGACCATCTCCTGGGTTGTTCACTGAGCAAGAGCTCGCCACCGGCCCCCATCATCAGCCAGATTAATCCACCCCATCTCCCGGGCGGTCTTAATTACAGGACCCTGTGTAGGCTTCGTCTTCGCAGTAAGCGCGAGTTTCTTGAAACGAACGAGCGACCCGCGGTCCGCTGGTTACATATCTTCCATATGTAGATCGATCTGTGAACCCAGAGGACTCTTACACCCTGGCCAGAGAGGGATGATGGCGAATGGCCCGCTGATTTCATTATATCACGTTTACAAAACGTATTTCCTCACAGCCCCGCTGTTATGCCGAGGCGTTCTTTGCGCGGGGACGGATGTCTCTTGTCGTTTTGAGCTACGTGATCTTTGAGTCCTGCTTCATGGCGGTTTAATTAATTTGATTGCTTGTATGCGAGTCTGCATGAAAAGAAGAGTGCGGGCCTTCATATGATCAGAAATGTGGCCCTTGTCCTCCTGACGTCGAGTGCTGAGGCGGACCACTGGACGACCTAATCCGACCAACTTCCCCTTAAAACTGATTCGCCAAGAAGATGTTATTCTGCTGCAGAAGTTTGGTAACAGGTGACAAATTACGAAGCGCCTTTTACCGGGCAACTGTTTTAGAAAAATTTCCGGCCCGATTTCCGTGTTTTCTGTAGCTGGGGTAAAGAATAGCTCGTCGCGTGTGAGGGCTCCATTATCTGTTGCGTCCCTGTCAACTTAAATGTCATTGCAATGGGACGACTTTCACCGAATTTGACGGCGAAACGAAAAATTCTCTGTTGGCGTGTTCACGTACTCCGTTCAGAATTAACCTCTCAGAGACCGCGGATCGTCGTGAAGCTTCAAAGACCACAACAAATTCCACTTCCGGTTCGTCCCTGTAGCCTTCCGGTACCTAAAAATGGCCAGGGAAGCTTCAGATTGGACCTTCGACTTCTGGGTGGTTGCGCCGTGCGGGTAAATGAAGGCGCCTTGTACTGAGGACGGACACACGGCCGGGGGGCTGATTGGGCAGCCTCTGATCCGCGGAACATCCGATATTAGTCGTCTCCGTGTGACATGAGACACCTGCCAGTGGCTTCTGCTTTTTAAATTAATTGTTTTCTACAAGTAACCGACGCGGCTTCAATAATCAGTCCTCTTGATGGGGCGCAGTTTGAAGTACTCTGTCCGCTGCTACTGGAACTCTCGCTGTCTGCTCTGAAATCTAAATGAAAAATAGAGAATTTTATTCCGCAGGTGCTGAGAAATGTGTACAGTTCGCGACTCTAATCTTGAGACTTGCAAGGAATGCGGGAAGTCCGAACCGTTAAAGGCTGGACAGACATCAGGTATCAGACTACTACCCGAGCAAAAACATTGACTACTTACACACACGAAATAAAGAAATCTGTCAGTGGTCGATGTGTTCTGAACTGAGGCTTTACTACAATCCTGGATAGCAGACGCCATCTTGCCTCCTTCCTCCTCACCTAGCAAGTCTCAAGATTAGAGTCGCGAACTGTACATAATTTTCTAGAGAAACCCGAACGATAGGGACCATTTTGCGAAAACCCAGAGGTAAGATAAAGATACTATTAAAATTGTACTTAAGGAGGTAGGGTGTCAGGATTGTGGAGTGGATTAAACTGGCCTCTTACCTTTAAGTCTTCGGAACATTTTGTAGCATGCGTGCTACATATCATCATCCTAGATTTTTATCAACCAATCCGTATTTTGTGGCGAAACTCATCTCGCATTTTTCCGTTTCTCCTCCACTGGTCCAGATATAACGCCCGATCGAAAAGATCTTTCGCGCAGGAGCATTGTCCAATTCTGACGCCCAGACGAACGAGACTGGCGAAGAAGTGGAATTAGCTTTACCGCGGGTTAAACGCGGAGGTGGACAGCGATTCATTTGATGCTGAATTCCAGGCGCCGCAGGGGGTCAGATGGCACTGCGCCTCAGCTAGCCGGGACGCAGGAAGTGAGTCCTCTGGTTACAGGCGTTCCCTTGACGGAGTCACACCTGAGGAGCCGATACCTCGTTCCAGTAGTCGAGACTTTCTCCGCATTTCGTGTTTCCGCCGTCTTAGCTACGCGCTTTCTAGATTTTAACTCCCGAATAATACTAGGTGGAATGTGTGACCCGCGTCCAGACCGGCTCTGGGGCCCACCCAACCTCTTATCCAGTGGGTCCCGGGGGTGAAGCTGAGACACACCCCCACATTGGACGATGAATTTACTTTTTCTCGTGTCTGTTCTTTATAATAGTCGCTTTTATTTCGATATTGGGGGGGGGGGATAACATTAAGATGGATCTTAGGTAGACACGTTTTGATGTACAGATTTATGTCCAGTGGCGGAGCTAAACCCGTGTTCGTTGGTTGTGACGTTGAACTCGTCTCGGGCACAAATGTTGACGGTCCACAAAATAACAGAACCCTTCTCTCTGGATTTATTGTTTTAAATGGCGTCCGATCTGTTCAGTCCTTTGTCTTATCTAAGAAGTTCTAGGAAGATCTCATTGGCGCTGCTAGCAACAAGCTGTCTTGTGAGTTCTGCCGTGTAGTCTGGTGCAAGTTTACCGACGTTTCGCTTTGCTTATGGAGGCAGCTAGCACCTCTGAAACGTCGGTAAACTTCAACCAGGGCGATTATAATTTACCACTAGCTTAGATTTCGGCTACGCTAAATTTGTCACATTTAGCCGCCCCCATGTTTGTTGTGTTTAACGCGAATGCCTGAGAAAAACCTCGCAGCTCTTATCTCGCTCATCAGTCCCCTAAATCACCGCCGTCAAACACAAAGCTAAATTGTGTCGTCCCGTGTCCGCCATTTTTCAATCTGTGCTTATAAAAAATACTGCATATTTTTTAAGCATCGATTATCAAGCGGGCTCAAGCTTTCGACTGTTCAATGTTGAGCCGCGCTCTGTTATCGTGAAGTCCAGTGGTTGGAGGAAGGACGTTTTGATTTGGTCTAACCTCGTACATCGTAATATAAACGCGACGTTTTAACCAATTTCAACATTAAGCAAGATATGGCGATGGACCCGTGTTCTTACATGGCTACACCTGGAGGGGGGTGTTTGTGTCTGCCCTTCGCAGTCTGTGGTGAAGAATTAGTCACAAGTCGGAGCTGACCAATCAGGTGGTTGAAAATATTGTCACGTGGTCGTTATGCTTTTCGCCGTCAGGATTTGCCCCGCGTCCCTCATTCGTGTGACCTGTCGACTCGTTCAAAGGGGTTTGCTTTGGTTTGGCGACAGCGACCCTCAGTCCTCTTCAGTCAAGCGGACAGCGGCAATGGCGAACGTGGCAGGTTGCAGTTCCTACGACGCGGGTAAGTGCCTGCGTTTCCAGATCTTATTTCAAACTCGGCGAAGTTAGCTCCTTCTGTATTTACGTGTACAAGAAATAATTTTTCTCCGATCGCCTACATTTAAACATCGGACAGAGTGATCGGTGGAATATTTCGCATTTGAATTTCATAATTTTATTCTGTGTGTTTGATAAAAGACGTGGTTAACGGATGGGCTGGGCATTTCGCTTAATGTAACACATGTCTGGAACCTCAAGACTTAAAAATCAAACAGCCCCATTTAAATTTAACACCATTTGACTGCCGTGTCTGTTGCTCGAATTACGCAGTGTCGCTACAAGTGCTCCGAAGGTTTTGGGCGGATCTGCCGCTGGTCCGATGCCGTCCAGAAGGGACAATGGTTTATGTGCCTCAGAAATGGCTTTAACACTTTTGCAAGTCTCGTGCAGACGTTCCGAGTAGGACGGGTTTCCGCGTGCTGACGACACCGCACCACGGGATAAGCGATTTTAATGTCGTATGGGGAATGTTTTATAACCGATAGGACCAATCGTTTTATTCTCGTAATTTTCAGTGTTTAATCTGCCCTGCCAAATGCGTTTGTACGTCGCGAGGCTAAGAAATGTCTCGGAATCATCAAACCGCAGCCAGAACAAAGAAAGTGTTTCGAACTTTGGACTCTACCGCGCAAATCCCTTCAAAACCTTTCACTTTCCCATCTTCAGAAATTGTGATATGCGGAATATCGACTTTTTCTTTTGTGAAACTTCGTGTCTCGCCTTAACAAGGAGACGCACTGAGGGCGTTTGGGGAGAACAGAGAAAATCACACGCCATGGAGCTTTGCAGTTTGTACGTACTCTTTGCGAGATATTGAGGTGATCAACTGAGAGAGAAGCATGAACGGTGAGATGAGAAATACATGCAATGTTTTAGTCGTAAAACGTAAGGTCACTTGCTAGACCTAGGCACAGATGGGAGGTTAATATTATGATTGGTATTTGAAGCAGATTGTGAATCACAGGTCTCATCCTGATTCAAAAAGATGGTGTCCGGTGGCGGGATCGTGTGAACGCGATGACGTGTCCCTCAAAGGACGGAGAATTTCTTGCTGAAGTGGAACGACTGTGCGTGTGTTCCTGGTGCCATTTCGTCACATATGATTAGACGCTGTACAACAACAACAACAACAACACATTAACTGGGTTAGGTTTTGTTTCGCGCCACGCGCTCCAGAGTCTGTTCGTCCGCGTTCTTGTCTCAATGACACGCAGATTCTCACTCCCTCGCCCGCACTTTGAGGTCCTGGTGTCTGTCGTTTCGACTTGCACGTAGCCGCCAGCGTTTTGGGGGACCTTACTGCCTTCATGTTCAGGGTGCAGTTTCCTCCATTCTTTTGTTTGGGTAAAGAAATAAGACGCCCTTGCAAAAGAGTGCGGCTGAACCTTGGCCTTCGCGCGAAGACGGAATATTCTGAACCGAATGTTATCGGACATTGCCCTCAGTTTACAGCCGCTGATTTTGGTCGTTTCTCGAACTCAGATTTGCATTTGTTTGTCAGTGGCGTTCTCAGTTGTTCGAACTTCTCGGATATTTTATTAATTGTGTTCGCGGACGCAGTGTTCCGCGAAACGGCTTACGTCACGTGTCGAGAAAGGCGAAGAGCAGTCTCGGAAGGAAGAGATCGCGCGTCCTATGAAATTGATTCCGGGAGCCGGGAACAGTTCCGTGTGCCCACTCGCAGTCAACAGACGCGAATGTTATGACCTCGATGCCCTTGTGACGCTTCTTAGCTCCGAAACACCAAACCGGTCTCACAGCGCGAAAAATACGTAATGAGGAACTTATCTATTTTTACTATTCAACAGATATTGACTAAATCAGGGAAGGTGAGATGGGCGGGACGTGTAGGAGATATGAGAAATTCACTCAGAATTTCATCGCAAATCATGAAGATGAAACGCCGTTTGCGAAATTTCGGCCTCAGTGGGGATATAATATTAAAATGAATCTTACACGAAAATGATGTGTATATGGGGACTGGATTAAACTGGCTCAGGACAGGGTCCTTGCGAACACAGCAGTGAACAGTCGCGTTATATAAAATCAGTCTGTGAAGTGGGCCGGCAGGCTCTGTCGTCACCGTCCAAACCCTGTGTGTGGACTGACGTGGAACTGTCATTGGTGCTATTGTAGAGGAACTGATGATATTCTAATGGGCATAATTATCGTCATCAGAATCTGCTTGTGTTCCGGTGCTAAATCGCACTGTCCCCGAGAGCAGCCGAGTGTGAAATGCAGTCCGCGGTTAGTCGCTGCTCCCTCGATGAGAAATTAATTCGTCAGGTCGTCTTCCTGCCTCCCGTGGGAGACCACCCAAGAGTTTGGGGATAGTTTCATAATTTCCCACATTAATTATCGGGATTGGCAGATCAAGGAGTTTGCGATGGGCGGGGTTTATGGGAGACAAAAATGCATACAAAATTTTCTGATCGAAGAACCCGAACAGAAGAATCCTTAAAACGTATGGGCGTAGATGGGCATTTGGCATTTAAGTATAACCACCGAAAATGGGTGTTCGCTGCGGCCGTGTCATCGGGTGAGGGTGAACCCCATTCGAGGTACGTCCGTCTGTCCGCGTGAGCAGAGACGCGCTTTGAGTGAGGACAGTTCATTGAAACGTCGTCGTGGTTTCTTAAAGACACTCCCAACTTCCTGGTGGATTGTCCCCCAATGCGATCAAACATTACAAAAACATACGCGGGCCGCTCAGAAATCACCGTCGAACCACGGTTTAAGAACCGTCGTCTGACTTCTATGATTGCAGCAGAAGATACACGGGGCAGAGGCCTTGAGACGCTGGTAGTCGCTCAGCTGGCAAACAATTTGCTTGTCTCGTGGGACTCGAAGGTAGACAGTGAGGCGGAGCTCAACAGCCAAGAAGCGTAGTCTTACGGGACGGGAGCCCCAGGTTAGGTTGGGTCAGAGGCCTGTAATTTACGCGGGCTTCAACAAGTTTCTGTACTCCAAAGAGTACGCTGGCTGTTTCTCACCGATTGTCCGTCCGTCCGTCTGTCGTACTTGCACTTTGGGGATGAACCGCGTGGCGTGAAAGAGCCTTCTGTACCGCCGTCGTCCTCGCGATTGTACCTGTGTGTGTTTTGTCTCAGGTCACGCGGACGCAGAAGGGCACTGGGAATTGGAGCGAGCGGAAGAACTGAAGGGGGTCAAGATGGCGTTGCTGGAAGCTGACCTTTGGCGCAAATTCCACGGCGTCGACACAGAAATGATTATCACCAAGTCTGGAAGGTAAGTGCGCGCTGGCTTCTTGGTTTCCTGGGCCCTCCTGCCGTGTACCAGCGTTTCGGAGGAACATACTGCCTCCATCTTTAATATTATCTCCAGATCTAATCCTCTGCCACATAGGCTGTACCATGGAGGAGTCTCGTCGTCCTGATCACGACTTCAGTCCTTCCACTTTTGAGTGATTAAACGTCGGCCCTTCTAATAATTAGCGTCATTCATGTGCCGATCTTTCGTAATTATTAAATTTATTTATTGTTGAATTATATGCATCTGTGTTGAGGAAGTAATTGTTACGGCGAAACACAGCTGTTTATTCGTTGAAGATCGCTGCGATGGGTCGCATAGCACTGATGATGGAAGCAGCAAACACCTCTGAAACGTCGGCAAACTTCTACGTCAGCTGCAATATTAACGTTTTTCAAATTCTGAATTATGTTGCTCTGAAGTCGGATCCCATACGAGATGGGACATTTGTTGACAAGCTGAGCGACTCTCAGCTTCTCAAAGTTAACTGTGCTGCATGAAGTTAGTTGTCGATTAGTGGTCCTGCGTGTTCTCAGCTCTTGGATTTGTTTAAATGTTAATTTTCCTGAGGCGGGCGCTTGTCAGTTTGTTTCGAGCAAACAGTACAACCAGCTTGTGGACTTGGAACGTGTGCGTTAAACTCAAGTCTAAACCTCCGACCCCGAGCGTATCAGATTGTAACATAAGTGTCCGGTGGTCAAATACTCTCGAGTACTTCGCTGCTAAAGGCGACACCGGTCACGTGATATCGAGTGCAACTCTCGTTAACGGAAATCTGTTTGCAGAAGTCGATAATTGTGTTCGATTGTTTGCAGATCTCGGACTGTCAATCCTTATCAGCCCAGTGGTTTATTAGGAGGGAATATCATGTCTGTTTCTAGGGTCTCCCTAGTGACCTTCCTCCTTTTGGTAGGTAATGGAAAATTTTTAAAAAAAATTCTCTTCTAGGGCATAGAAAACATAGTTCGTGACACGGTCTATGTCGGCGAAAGACGTCAAATTGTTATTTCTTCAAGATACATTTTAATATTATCTTCGTATACACGCCTAGGTCTTCGAAATGGTATCTTATCACGATTTACAATTAAAATTATGCACGCATTTATCATATTTCCATCCCTCGTGATTTATCACAATAATAATAATAATAATAATTGCCATTTTGGGATCTTCATACGTCATTCGAAAGACGCTGTCGTAAAATATGCAGTCATCCCTCACAATAAAACTATTTAATACATGTAACATGTATTAAATACAAAATGTATTTCGGAAATAGCCACTGCGCTGTGTACCTCAGGGGCAAGGTTTGTCTCGGGTACACGGAAGTAAATGCCCTTTAAAACCGTGGGATAATAATATTAACAATAATATTATACTTTCCACTTGAAACAGGAATTTGCGTGATTAATCAGGCGGTGAGTTCTGAATCCGTTGTCAGGGCGAGAAGTTCCTGCGAAGGAGGTACTCACCCACGCTGCTGTGAGTTCCCTCCCCTCCTGGAAAGTGTTACCGCGAAGGAAGGGTCGGTCCACCCTGGCGCCAGGGCGAACTACCACCCTTAGCTGGCGGCGACAGGGTGCGAAAGTGAGCAGTCTTTGTCTGGCACGCACAGAACAGCTATGCCACCGGCAGCGCCCGTTTCCAAATTGATTTCTTTGAAAGTTCAAAGCATCTCAGTGATGCTGGGGAACCTCTGCGTCAGCTCCAAGCCCGAAGGACCTAAGTTCCAGCACTTCCACTGGCATGATAGCGAGCCAGTTCTGTCCGCTCACTCCACTCCTACAGTCCATGTTAATGTTAACCTTCCATCTCGTCTTGATCTTCAAAGTAGACTTTTTGGTAAAGCCGTGTTTTCGGCACGACACTTCACAAATGAAAGTGTCCAGAGCAGGAGTCGGCACTTGGTGGCGCCACTGCACTCCACACGAATTAAAATGCTTTCAGTCACCAGTCAGACGTTTCGCTCGCTAAACGTCTCGAAATTATTCGATGTGTACGCCTGCCGGGGTCATCTGAAGACCCAGAGCTGCTGCGTTGCCTTTCGTACCCTGGGCTGCGACGTTGTATGGACTTGCAGGCAGATGCCAACGTTTCGGAGGAACATACTGTCTCCATCTTCAGCCCTGAAGATATGTGTCGGTAGGCCCATATTAAGTCCGCCTTTTCATTTTCAGACTTCGTTTATAAATGGATTTTGCGCTCTAATTTATCAGCTGGACCTCTATCAGTGGCGCCTCAAATTGTTTATGTTTCATACCGAAACGTCGGTCGTTCTAACACTTAGTGGCGCTGGACTGACATTTTTATTTCGACGTCCGTGAGCGGGACGTTACAGGAACAGCAGAGCCAGTCTCAGAATCCCGGGTTCGACACCCAGTGACAAAGAACGCCAATGGACTACGTCAGAATGAGTCTCCCGCAAAACAGAAAGGTTTTTAGTCTCGAAGGACAGGCGCGGTTGTTTTCCAGAGCCTTTCCATGTCGATTTTTTTTTTACGAATTTTAAGTCACGGAGGAGGGGGCGGAAGGGAACAGAACTTTTTCTATAACCCTCTGTCGCGTGTAAAATAAGGACACTTTTGAATTGGTAAAGTGAACTACGGTCTGGAGTGTTTGGAAACGTGTTTAAAAAATTGTCAAGAAGAGAATATTTGCGGTCTTCGTTACAAAGAGTAAGAAACTTACTGAGTTGTTGATATTGGTAATAGGGTGTCGAAACGTCGGTGAAACTCGACTAATTTTGCAGTACCAATAAGAACTGAGTTAAGTACGCAGACATCTTGTTATATTGAAAGTAACTCACGGCGGTGATTCTGAAGATGGCTGTTTTCTGAGTTGTTACTAATCGTCCTGATGATGGAGGCAGCAAGGAAACGTCTACCAAACTGCACGGCGCTACAACCCAGAAGACGAGACCATCTCAGGAACGAAACTTCGTCGGCATAATTCCCGTGTCGGTCTGTTTGCCGTTCTCGGCGAGTCTTTGATGTCAGATCAACCAACAGCTTCCTCTGCAGTCGTGCGTTCATTGCAACAAAACACGAAGACTCGGGTGTTTTAGGCCACGTATTTGCGGGTCATCTAATGACAGGAGCAGACTTTTCATTGTTTTCAGAAACGGGCAAAATGGCAAATCATCGGTTTCCTGTGGGGCGAAGCGTCTTCAAGTTTCGCGCCCCGTCGCCTGGAGAGGCGCCACTCTCATCATGGCGACCGTTTCCGCACAATCGGGAGAAACAATCTCTTTCAAGATACACTTGGCTGCGTTAACTTGCCCCCCGTGGACTTTGTACCCCTCAAAGTAGGCATCGCTCCACCAAGAGATTCAAGTGATGAATGTTCTTTGCGAAATTCCCCGCTTGTCATTAAACCGAAAGTTCTTTACCTGGATCACGAGAACTCGTCAGTGGACTCTGCCCTGAGCCCACACCCTTAGAACCTGCTTCTTCAAGATCCATCTGAATATCAGTTGCCTGCGTGACAGACATCACCTTCACACTGCATCCTTTTCAACTGCTGATCCGATAACCCGTGCCTATATAGAACCGTCTACAGTGTACTACCTGTGCTGGTTCGGCGCCTCCTCCTTCCCGTCTGACTTCCTGTACTTCCGCTAAATGCGACTGATCTTGTACCTTTTTCAGTGCAACTGACCTGCGTCTATGCAGACTCCTGACATTCCGCGCTTCATTATTTCGAACGTTCCACAATATCCGTCTGGCCCCGAGGCCTTCTGCAACGTTCCATTAGCCTCGGCTTTATCGAGAATGACAAACAGTCCCCAGAAATTTTTATGAAAAATGTTCATGACCTCGCGGTCACCCTGTAGCAGCTGGCAATCAGTGCCTCGGCGTCACAACACGTGCTCTGCTCTTAAGCAACAGCAGCAGCAGGTGAATACCAGTGAAAGAACTGAGGAAAACCGCGACAAACCCAGTCTTCAACCCGAGACCCCCTTAAGACGTCATTTCTCTCCGTTACAGGAACATGTTCCCGGTGCTGGCGGTGGAGGTGAGCGGTCTGGAGCCCGACGCGCTCTACGTCGTCCTCATGGAAATGTGTCTGTCGTCGGACCGCCGCTACAAGTTCGTGGGTGCGGAGTGGAAGGCCATGGGCAGGTCGGAGCCGCAGATGGCAGTCAAGATGCGATGCTTCATCCACCAGGACTCGCCAGCGACCGGCACCCACTGGATGCGAGACCCCATCAAGATGAAGGCGGCGAAGCTGACGAACAACCCGGTGAACAACAACGGACACGTGAGTGCCGTCTGTCATAGGAAATGTAACACAGTTTGTGTGAGTGGTAAGCGGACCGCAGTTAAATCCTCTCACCGTCTTCTTTCTTCGTACAGGTGGTCCTAACGTCTATGCATAAGTATATTCCTCACATTCATGTGGTGAAGACATCGGACTACGGCGCCCTTTCGCGGAGTCCCAAAGCTACGTTCCTGTTTCCAGAGACAGAGTTCATCGCCGTCACAGCTTATCAGGTATCATCGAACTCTTAAGTAATTAACCAAATTGCGTTTGTTTTGAAATTACAAACACGTGAGATACACAATTTTCTATTAGTGTTATAATTAAATTTCGAAGCACTTTCTAACTTCTTAGGTCTGTCCTCCAGAACTCTTGCCAAAACGTCAGTTAACACAAGACATTCGACGTGGCTCTCACCCGGAAGCCACAGTTGTACGTTGAACTCCGGCTGCAAAAATCCTATGGACAAGAAATATAATTTGTGCATTGAACTAGGAATGAATATTGTATAACACTGTGTGTGACTTCTCATTTGTCCTACATGCTTTAGTTATTATGTCAAAGTAATTATAACATTAAGTCACTAAACAGTGTGATCCGTCTCCTGTTTCAGAATGAGCGAGTTACGATTTTAAAAATCGATAACAACCCATTTGCAAAAGGATTCAGAGAAAATGGTCTCTCCTATGTGAAGCGGAAACAGAATGAAGCTGGTGAGTATACTTCGACTGGTCTGCAGTTTGCTCGGTTCACTAGATTCTTGCCTCCGCCCCCTTCCCCACATAAATATAACGACAATGTGGGCTTTAAGTCTTGGAGGCTTATCCTAGTGATCTGCTGTTTGCGTCTCTGAATTCAGATCAATTCTGATGTCCAGCTCCAGTTACTTCCATGGTCCTCCACATCTTTGTTGCATGGTTCAGCTTTACATCTTCATGTCAGGGCAACTGGCGTTGACGCACGTTCTGCTGCTAATGTCAAATGTAAAATCAATAAACAATTTCTGTTGGTGTTACAGCACAGAATCACCAGATACCAGGAGTAGAACATCTTGTGTAGTAAATGTACCCTAGACAAGGAAATAATATCCATCATAATTACATTTAATGGATAAATCTGCCCAGGTAATAAATGTGACGATGAATTAACTTTCAGCTTCAAACAGAAAGCGTCACTACCCCGAGCGAAGTCCCTCGTCATCACTGGACAATGCTCAGTCGCGCTCCCCGCTACTTGCAGAGGATTTCAATAATAACAGTCAGAACACACTGCGTGTTCCATCTGTCATCCAAGATCAGAATGAGTGTAATCCTGTGGATCTGCAGCGTGAAGCTATTTCGGCTGCTGTCGCCATGGCTTCCCCTTACAACGCGATATGTCAGCGCCCTTACTACCCTTTCCCGGAACGGGTTTGTATGTTTCCCTGCATGTTGCCGTCATCGCTCCAGACTCCGCCGCCGCTACCTCCACACCCATCCTCTCTTTACTCCTCGCTTTTCATACCCATTCCATATAACTTCAACTCTGCATTTCACCATCAGCTTTACTCCTCCACGCAGCCCTGCATCACAGAACTGAATCAGCCGTATGACTATTCTTTACGAGAAAAATCCAACTAAACACCTGGCCTACTAATGAAGTACCCTTAATGCAGTTTCAGTGCAGCAAGTCCGAGCATATTGTCATTTTATTTATTTTTTGTGATTTATTTTCAAACTTGTCATGTACTGAATGAACATTACTCTGACAGTTGTCGTAGTTACGTGGAGGGAATGCAGAAGATTTCCGCCCGCTTCTGGCATAGATACAGAATTTCGTATCTAACGAAGGCATGGGACAGTTTTGGTGCTGTGTTACTGCTAGGGCTACAAGTTAATTATTTTCAGGTAGTAAATTAATTGGAAAATAAATATTTGTTTTGTCACAGTAGTAATTACGTTTTGTTGCATAAGTTATACACACATAATATGTGTACCAAAGAAATAACACTATATGTTGAATCTCATTGATATGTGAACAAACTTTTTTTTTAAACCGCAGATTGCAGGTTGTCTCATATTTTCTGAAGTTCATTGCACGCCAGGCATAGGAGTACAATGACTGGCTTATAACGTGCACTTCTTCAGGCACTTTTATTCCAAGATACAGGTAAAGACCAATTGAAAGTTGCCTATCCGAGGACAAGCCTTAAGTTAAAGTATAGAACATAACAGAAAACAGAGCCATCGAATGTTTATATAGTAATATTTGAATGGAAATGTTACTTTCTTAAGCTAATGTAAAATGATGTTTCTTAACAGATTAGATGAGTTAACCAACACAACTTACATTAGTTTACATTTGCACACCAAGAAAGCCAGGAGCTGTGTATCTCTACTGTTGTAAATGTTTTAGAGAAAAGGTGATGAATCGTTTTCCATTTTCTAACCAGGCATTCAAATTGTTTGACGCCATGAGGGCTCCACACAGTCATGACAAGTTTGTTTCATTTAAGTTACTAAAACAGTGAGAGGCAGAGGAATTTGGCATTTATTGACTGGAACCTGGGAACTGTAAGCATTTTGTATTTAGAAATATATTTCTAAATGGCTTGTTTTGTACTGATTTGACAATTAAACAGCAAATAATAATAATAATTGTTTAATTAATTTTCATTCTTGTTTCCATCCCTCATCGACTCGGAGTATAGACGATGTAAGATGCTTCTGAATGTTGGAGAGGGGGAATACTGTGTGACTACTCTGGGGAACAGCCTCTCATCTATGGGTGATCACCATGTTGGATGCTGTCGACTGGAATGCTGAATATGTTCCATATTGACAAATATACATTCTAAACAGATTCAAGCTCACATTCTGTAATTGTTCTTTTAGATATGCAGGGCACTTCTAAATGAGTGATTTCTCAGAGTTGTAGACTAGGGTAGACTTTGTTTTTAAATGTTTATACTGACTGAAACTTTCTGTCTGGCCGGGTCACCCCGCTACGGTATCCGAGTAGACCGTACAGCCAGCAACTCGACGCTGGGAAATAACCAGACTCCCTAAAGGGGCCAACGGTTTTGGGCGGAGGAGCCCTTTTAGGTGGGTGATGGTCCCCTCAGTGAAGGAAATGCCACTGAAATCCATCATGTAGCATATTCTCCAAGGTTAGGGGCGTCTGCTCCCCATGTTAGGGGCGGCCTAAAAGAAACCTTGAGGAAAGGAACGGGAAACTACCTCAAGATTTTCTTTCCCAAGGAAACCCATCATGGATTTGCTCGCAGTTAAATGTGGAACGTGTCTAATGATTGATAGCCGAATTGATGTTGATGATGATGACTGAAATTAAGTATGCCTTAATGCGAACTTTGGCAATGTAGCATACAACTTGCTATACCTTCAACATGCATCATGCTGAAATGATTTACTTCAGACATCGACTGGCTTTCGAACATATGATTTCTGTTTGAATTTTCTCCCGCTCAATGTTCGAACCAGAGCGAGAAAAAAGGGTGTTGTAATGCCGACCGCATCATAAGAACCAACACAAGATAGCTGATCAGTTGTTTCAGAGATGGCTCATCATATGCGTACCATCAAAAATGGCCGCGGGTTTGAGTTATATATTGCTGTTACAGCGAAGGAAGGACATTGTTTGTCAAAATAAGCAAATTCTGCTTACTTATGTATCAGTTTCTAATCCTAGTTTTGTGTATACTTCAGTGTTTATGTTCACAGATCTAATGTTTTAAATGGTAAACCAAGATTTCCGTGGTTGTTTATTATGTACTGCGTAGAACGATATTGTATAATTTTCTTCATTTTACTGTAATGACATTTTCTGTCCATGTACATCATAACATTCTCTTCAGTGATTTGCCAAAATAAAATTAACTTCGTTCAGTGATGTGAAAATGTTCAATAAGACTGAATCAACAAAAGGGAGCTTCCTGGAGCAGACAAAGGCAGCTAGAGAAGAACGAGCACATGAGAAGAAAAGGGAATGGGGTGCCACAGTTATTCAAGCCCACATTCGAGGATGGCTCGCAAGAAAGAAGTTTTCCAGTTGTATTCTGTAAGCTCTTGCATCTGTAGAGGGTAAAAATAACTTACAGTTTACATAGTTAGGTTAAGAATGACAGATTCAACTTATTTCAGCTCTTTTGTTTTTGTTGTGAACTATTAACCAAACATTTGAATGAGTAGAGGCCACAGTACAGGTATATTCTGTGTTGTCACCAAATTTAGTAATTTTAGCCATCTACAGACCGTTGACATTTTCATATATCTGTTTGTCTCAAAAGTTTATTAACTTAACAATATTTGAAAAGAATTATGAGGGAGATGAAATTACCCAATTTCTTGGTTAGTTCTTATGTAGGTTATCATTGAGGATGCTCTGAATGAATAGCATATCTTGTAGGAGTAAGTTACTTGAAATGCGTAGAGGCATAAAAATTGGAAAATTACTAGCATTGTTCTTCTGGTTGAAGTTTACCAACGTTTCAGAGGTCCTTGCTGCCTCCATCCTCAAGACTCATCACCCAGATGATGGAAGCAGCAAGGGACTCTTAAATATTGCTGAGATTCTACCTGAGTACATGACACTACAACTCAGAAAACAGCCATCTTTGTACTCACTGCCATGAGAACATCAATTCTAACAGAAATGTGGGTTACAGTGTGGAAACTGGAAGAAAGTGGAACATACTAACATTCAGCTTGTCTTACTTTGCCTTTCAGCCAAGAGTTCGACATGATGTTTCCAACCGAAAGTTCAGAACTTATGCCAAGTCTTCAAGTTTATCAAGTAGCTTGCAGATTTTTGCTTGTGTGGCAAAAGGAGCGAGACAGCAAACGTTTTGAGAAACTTTGCAGGTAAATTTAGAAGGGCATTTATTTCTGGGCGAGAGTTTTGCCTTTTTATGTGCTAAATGCGTTTGACATACAAAATGCCCATGGAACAGCATGTAGAAAGGGTGCTAATTATATTGTGCTCAAAAAGTAATGAGGAAAGGCATTTTATGTAGCTGCTCAGAATTGGTGTAGGGAGTCTATTTGCTACACAAAGGCAAGTTATTACTGGATTTATTTCGATTTTATCAGGTACCTTGTGACAAGCCTGGAGTCTGATTCCATAAAACTGAGTTACGTTGGAGTTGCTTTAAACAAAGAGCATGCTGTAGCATGGATTTCCCATGTGAAGGATATTCTATGGAAATGTTGTGGTTACTTGGACAAACTCCGACCAGAATATCCTACAGATACGCGTACTATACTTCTGTATTTGCACACTTTGGTGACATTTACTTCAACCAATACTTGGGTTCTCTTACGAGCAAAGCACATGGAAATGCTGAAACCAGGACTAAATCAACTTTGTGCCAACATCATGGGTCATCTCTTTACAAAGGGATTTTATCTCACATTAAAGGTATTTAGCCATACGTTATGCAGTTTATTGAAACGTGAAAATACATCATTTATTCCAATTTCACTTCCGTATCGTATTCCATCTCCATTTTGTAAGCTCTGAACTGAACCCCCCAAAGACTGGAATTAAGAGAAGTGGGAATGTAACGATGTCCTGAGCCGAGTTTCTGTGTTTCAGTCTCTACTTCTTAGAGGACTTGGAAGAGCTAAGATAACATTAAAACATGTGTCAATCTCAGCTGTGTTAACGCTGGCTCTTCGACCTCTGGCGTCTTCCGGTTTCTCAGAGAAGTTGATGACAATGTTCCTAATACACATCCTTAGTGTGCCTGCACTTGTACTGCACATCCAGAACCTTGCTGCCGAGGTGAGGAACTGTGCGTAGTGTCTAGTGTAACATGTTTCATGGCGATGGAAAATGAACAAAAGTTGGAGTAACCAATCACAGCTTTGTACACCATAAATTCCACATTTTATGACCTCGTCCAGAAAGTAGTGAGAGGTATGTGTATAGCTTGTTTTGTTAATACAGTTAATCAGCTTTCATGCTGGTTTATAAAAGAAAAAACAGGTTTTTGAGACGGTTCAAGCCGTCTTTATATTTTCATCCACAATAATTTTGAATGAATTCTTTGATTTTAATGATACTATGTAGGAGCCATGAGGTTAAACATTGCGCTGGTTCTAGTGGCAGGCAGGGAACTTCTTGACTGACTGAGTCAAGGACTTTTTGTTCTTGTAGTTAGTTCAAAGCTTGAAGCGTTCCTTATTAATATTTGTTTGCAGTGCATCAGTGTTCTCGTCGGCCACAGTTTATTGACCAGGAGTCTTGAACTACTAAGTTCGGAGCAGAACATGAGGATTGTGTTCAACACTTTGGAAGGGAATTGTGCTCTGTGTCTCCTGGCAAATCTTATTCAGCTCGCTTACATTCAGAAAGAAGATGCACTTAAGGATGTTGCTTTCCCAACTTTTACTGTGAGTATCGCTCTTACTGAAATGTTATGAACGCTTAGAAGTTCCATTTGATGCACAAGCTCGCAGGTCAGTCCCGTTACAAATTATTGCAATGTGCGTTGAAGCTTACAAGTACTGGTAACCCACAGCTTTGATGTCTGTTTTCCCTAACAGTTCGTAATAACAAGACTGATGGAGAGCTGCCAACATTATGTAGTGACAAAGCAGTCAAACCTAACTCACTGGCATCCAGTGCTAGGATGGTTTGCTCAGAGTATGGACCACAGTCTGCACGAGGCGATGCCGTACGTAAAGACGCAGCTGTATCTGCTGTGGAGTGGCCCGGTGGTGTCGGTGATTCTCGGTCAGACCCTGTCTGAACTCGTGGAGAATGCCGCTGACGGCGGATCTGAAGGCCCGTGTTCCAGCTCCAGTGTCGGAAGCAGCAATATTTTGAGACGAGCTCTAGATCACCGGGCAAATCGTACCAACGCTGCCAAGTATCATCGCAAACTTGGCAGTCCCGAGTGTACCAAGGTGGCACTCCTGTGCTCTCTTTACCAGACAGCTCTTGGGACCCTGACGCAACTGAAGCTGGACATCCTCACAGGTTAAGTGTGTATGTCACACCAGCCCCCTTGTTTCTCAGTTATTTGGATCAAGAAGTGCTAAGTCAAGTCAGTTGCTATAGTGTTTTAAAAAGTGTCTGCTTTGGAATGGCGCAGATTTTGTGTTACATATAATCCCTTCATGAACCCTAGGTGACATTATGAAGTATCTGTCATTTATTTCATCTGTCTGCCTGGCTGTATGTGTGAAATGACATTGTGCATGCTGAATAGCTTCTGGAAATATAATATAATATTAATATTCATTATTATGCTGCATTTATTATTTTTCTTTATGTAAATATAGGAACTAATTTCACTTTGACGGAACGGGACATGCGTGTTTGAGTCAGTTTGATGATTCTGATGTTTGTTTTGTTCTGTTGCAGGCCTGTGTTATCAGGATAAGATCCTGTACAATCTGTGGCTGTTCCTGAGCAGTCTCGGCCCCAACTGCGGCCTCAAAGCATTCCTTGACCTTCTGGCTGTCAACACAAAATGCTCAGCACCTGAATTTCAAATGCTGTTACTTTTTTGTGATTGCATGATGCATTATGTCACGTGAGTTAAAATGGTTGTCATTTTTAATGCATTTTGCTTTTCTTTTAATTATGAAGAGAGCACAGTAGTTAATATTACCAAAGAGTCTTATTTGGATTATTTTGTAGTACAAATGGATATTTAATCGGGTATAAGAAAACATAAGCAATGGTGAACTTAGAAAAATTGTCTTTTGTCTCTTCTGCACAGATATATCAAACGTGCAAGATATACGGTGGCACTGACTGCAGCAATAGTTCACAGATACTGATATTAGGTGTTTTCTTGGGTGACCTCTAGAAGGTCATTTCTTTCTCTGTTCAATAAATATCGTTAAATGAAGGATCATTTTGTTTTTTCCTTATTGCAATTATTGTTATTGTTTCAGAATTCTTGACGACCTGGAAATGTATGAACAGCAGAAACCATTCCGGCTAGTGGATTATGTATATATGTCCAGTTTTCTGAATAATTTCCTTTATAAAGGTGTTTTAGGAAATTTATTTGGTAAGTTGTTGCAGTCTGATGGACAGTGTTAATTGAAACAGCTGAGGCAACTGTAAAACTAATTTTCTCTAAATCTTTGTTGTACAGACGTGAAAGGTTTAAATGCCAACCCACTGTTTCAATCGGCCCATACTTTTCTGATGGTTCTGTATCGACGAGACTGCAGACGAAGTTACACGGTTGACAATCATTGGCTTATTAAAGATCTTCGAGTTGGAGCTTTCATCACCGATCTTGAAAAGGGCAAGAAAACAACTCAGGTTTGCAATTTGAGTAACAGAGTTTATGGATATGGGGCATCACTTACTTTATGTATAGTAATGTGTAAAGATGGCTGTCTTCTGGGTTGTAGTGCTGTAAAAACCTCAAACCTTGGTAACATGTACGTCATATATCTAAAGGCATGACAGGATGTAAGAAAATATAAAGTGCGTATTTCACCGTGGCTTTGTTAGTTCATATCCACCATCTTCGTTGGATTCAGTTTCAGGAATCGTCATGGCCTCACTAATTCCATGCAAGAAAGCATTTGTACCTGGCATGACATCTGGCTTCTATAGTCAATTCTGAGATTAGTAATATGTGAACTGGATTCAGCTGCTGTGAACACAGTAACGATCCTTGAAGTTGTATAAAAGACAAAGAATTTCTTGACTAACTCAGTGACTGAGCAGGAACTCTCCTTCACTAATTGAAATCCTTTGAACGGCTCTGGTACTGTGATGCTCATAAATTTGTATTAGACTTGTCTCCTCCCTTAAGTGTGTCAGACGTGTGTTGCTGCAAAGTGTTTTCAGTCTTTTTTTCCCCACTCAGAGTTGTAACTGTGTTGACTTAGTACATTAATGTAATAAAGTAAACATGCTACTGACCCCTTGTCAGGTGTTGTGTAATTTTGTGAATATGTCTTCTTCAAAATGTGTATTTTAAAATATTATAAAAGCCATTTATATAACATAATTTTCTGTCCCTTGTTTTGTTTGTTCTGTGTTCGTATTTTCTTTAATTTCGTGCGTTCATATTGTTATAGGTGCTCCTTCAGAAGATGCCACATATCATTCCCCACGAGGAGAGGGTCCAGTTGTTTCGGAGATACGTAGCCAACGAGAAGACGGTGCTTGGACTCACGGAGTCTGCTTGTGTCTCTCCACAGTCAACACTTATTACTGTCCATAGGTAGCATGTTGTGAAAATGTGGATCTTAAAATAAATATAAGGTGAAGGTGTGGACTGGATTTATCTGACTCCGAATAAGGTTCCGCTGCAGTATATTCAACTTTGCACCTCTCAGCTCAGTTTAAACAACAATAATGACAGACAAAATATGAAAGAAACGTGGTGAAGGATGCCCTGTCATAATCTAATTAAACCGTGGAGTAGCCTGATAAATCACATATCGTTATTAATACTGCAAAGATCATCATGCATTGCTGCATGTTCTCTGCTACAGATGTCGCATTGTGGAAGATGGGTACAGGCAACTAGCACTTCTCCCGCCACAGGCTCTGAAGGGAGTCATCAGGGTGCGGTTCATCAATGAACAAGGTTTGGATGAGGCGGGCATCGATCAGGACGGAGTTTTCAAAGGCATGAGTTTCACCTTCCCTTTCATCTGTTTATACCACAAGCTAATTTAATTATTCTGCACTTGAATGCATTTTAGCTTGAACAGCAGGCGCATGTGCAGTATAATCTGTGCAGTCTTCACTTTCATCAGTCTCTGTCTGGTTCTATATATGTTTCATTTCTTTTTCAGAATTCCTGGAAGAAACGATAAAACGAGTGTTTGATCCGGCTCTCAATTTGTTTCGGGTAACAAGTGAAGAAAGGCTCTATCCATCACCTACATCATACATGCAAGATAATCATTTGCAGCTGTTCGAATTTGTTGGGCGCATGCTTGGAAAAGCTGTATATGAGGTGATTTTTAACATAGGCTCGAGAATCTCTTGTGGTTTGCCCATTCAGCTGCATTGACGGCACACATTTAATTATTTTATGAAAACAGTGGTGCATACGGTATCATCATATGCACGTATCCGTGTTGTTTGTTTATCAATTTTTTGATACGCCTTCATTTTGTCAGAAAATGGGATAAAATTGCGATACCACCCTCGCGCTTCCCCTCTCACATCTTAACGTAACTAACTGATTTTAACATCTTGTATGAATCCTATGTAATTCCGTACATAAAGCAATAACTTTGTTTCTGTTGCAGGGTATCGTCGTAGATGTTCCGTTTGCTTCGTTCTTCCTGAGCCAGTTGCTGGGACAGCAGCACCAGGCCCTCTACAGTTCGATGGACGAACTGCCGTCGCTTGATCGTGATCTGTATCGCAGTCTGACTTTTATAAAGCACCACGAAGGGGACGTACAGGACTTGGATCTGACGTTCTCGGTCGACGAGGACTGCCTCGGTAGGATAGTCACGCATGAGCTCGTTCCTGGAGGGAAAGCAATTCCTGTCACCAATGACAACAAGTAACTAAAGTCACCATTTGTTTTCAGAAAAGTGTTCAGTGGCTCATACCATAAACATAATTATTGGTAGTTATGCTATTTTGTAAACTTCTTTCATCAACAGAATTAATTACATGCATTTGATGGCCCACTTCCGAATGCACACCCAAATCAAAGACCAGACGGCTGCTTTTATTAGGGGCTTCCGCTCGCTGATCAACCCAGAATGGCTTTCACTGTTCTCGGCACCAGAAGTAAGTGAGACTAATGACTGCATTTTCTTGGGGTTGAGAAATGACGACAGTCCAGTGACTTGTGTCGAGGTAAGGCATCCATTTTGAAGTATTTGATTGGATTCCAATTCAGAGGACCAACGTTCTCGTTGGATTTGATGTGTCCATGAAACTAGTTGGGCTAATTAAAATGTGTTTGAACGAAACCTGTAACCAAGTCTGTATAGGTGCATTTCCTGTTCCGAATGGTCTTAAATAGAGACATTACATCAGCAGTACAATCAGGTGGGACTGGAATTGAAAGGAACATACCAGCTTCTGGTTTGTGCTGTTGATGTGTGAAAAAATGGTAAAAAAACTGATATTCGCTTGAATAAAATTTTATGTGATGTTATTTATATTTTAAATTTTCTGTTCTAAGTTGTGGTTGAATGTTACAGCTGCAGCGATTGATTTCTGGAGATAACGTACCGTTAGACCTCCGAGATTTACGTAGACATACGCATTATTATGGCGGTTTCCATGACTCTCATCGTGTCGTGTGCTGGCTTTGGGACATCCTTGACAAGGATTTCAATGATGAAGAAAGAAGACTTTTCCTAAAGGTGACAGACGCGTTCTTGAGAGATTGCTAGTCACTCAGTGGGTCAAGAAGTTTTCCACTTTTTATGAAACCCTGACGTTCATTACCACGTTAACAAGAGGTTACCACAGGGTCTTGTTATGAACCAATTCAAACCAGTCCATGCCTTCACATAGCATTTGTTTAGGGTGCATTTTAATATTATCCTCTCTTCTGTGCCTAGGTGTCACAGTTGGTCTCTTCCCTTCAGGTTTCCCAACCAAAATGTGTTATGCATTTCTAATCTGCCCCTGTGTGCCGCGGCCCCATCCATATCATTTGTCTTGATTTAAACATCCCAGTAATGTTTGGTGCAGATTACGAACATCCAGAGGATCTATGCATTAAATTTTGCGCTTAAGACTAGAGGCTTAGTTTTCAAGTTCTTTTTGTGAGCAGTGGCAGAGCTGTAACCAGTGTTGTCATATTACAAAAAGGTATGCAAGTGCGTGTGGTATCAGTTATGAGAATTCACAATTTTTTCTGGTACTTTCCGATTCTCAGTTTTCGAAGTATTGTCACAGGTGTTGGTGTTTTGTTCTCGTTTTAGTTTGTGACTAGCTGTTCGGTATTGTCACAGGTGTTGGTGTTTTGTTATCGTTTTAGTTTGTGACCAGCTGTTCAAAACCTCCTCTGTTGGGCTTTGCTCATTTAGAACCGCCGTTTTCAATTCGCTGTGTAGAAGTCGGAGATGACGAAGATACAGGTGATACTATCGGTAAGTTCACTGCATTTATTTTGGATCAGAATGTTTTTTCCCAGTGTGTTCTTTGTGCCGTACGTTCTCCATGCCTGATTGGCGTTGTTGTTCATTCATTTGTGATGCAAACCTTTCAGTAGGATAATTACATATTTCTCTAACAACAGCGCAAAAAAGCTGCATACATACATGAGACTTGCTTTTCTTTGTATGTTGTTAAATGTTGCTAGTTGTATGCCCTGCCCATCATAACCTCTTTCATTTGACTATCCTTATAATACTCTGCGACTTAGTGACTGTCAATTACTCGGCAGGGGCACTTCTCCATGTAGTTAGTTGAGAAATTTCTTTTCTTTTGTTCTAGGAAGTGTAATACGCGGATTTTTTACAATCAGGAAAAAGGACCCACAGAATCGATTACCAACTTCATCAACATGCTTCAATCTTTTGAAACTTCCAAACTACCAGAAGAAGAGCACATTACGGGATAAGCTACGTTATGCCGTGTCTAGCAATACGGGCTTTGAGCTGTCGTAACGTCTGTCGTTTTATTAGGATGCTGGGATGTCAGCAAGCAGGTACTTTAAATCTTTGTACACTTATTTCTTTAATATTTGTAGATCCTGAAGAATGCATGTCACAGATTAATATGAAATACATGTTCAGAATAATCTGGAAGCCATTCTTATTCTGTGTCAAGAAGCAGCGGACACATGATCCAAGGCGATGCGTGACCGTCTCCACTGCACGTGAACTGTTAGGCCAAACGCAGCAGCCAACAGAAATAATAGTTTTAATGTAATCTCATTGTATTGTTTTAAATATATGCACAATATATAATAGTTTTCCCGTCATACCACATCCTGTATGAAACCAGTGAGTTTCTGCATTGGATGGGCATTTGTTCCACAAAATACTCTTCTTGTATCCCAAAATGTTTCACATTTTATGGGTGATGAGAATTTGAGTGTGGAGCCCCAAAATTTATGTGACCTGTACATTTCTTGACTGCATTTTAACATGATGATGTATATTTTGAATAGCTGATGTTCTACAGGAACCACGTTATGTGTTGTTCAAAACCTGAAAAGAATGTTAGGGAAAGTGTTGGCACTTTCGTACGCATTCTGTGTGTACGATGTGTGCCTCGTGGCAAATAACGATGTGTTGTCCAGTGTTCAGAAGCACTGGGAGAATAAAACTGTTGAAGGGCTCATGGAAACTTTTAAGACCTCGAGGAGGGTGTTCAGAAGCACTGGGAGAATAAAACAGTTGAAGGTGTGAAGTTGTTGAAGGGCTCAAGGAAACTTTTAAGACCTTGAGGAGACATGAGCTATTTGGACAGGGCAAGTGAATGGAAAAAATGGAACAGGAGGTAATGAGGAACTAGTGAAAGGAATTGGGCAGTAGACGAGCGTGACGTATTTCGTGCCCAAGAACTGATGAGTAGTTTTCTCCACAATGAGACTGGAGTACAGATGAATAGCCATCTGCGTAATGTGGTGCTGTTACAGAAGTTATGTTCAGATAATCTTAAATTTTGCCTTTTCTTTTACCTTGAAGATGATAACTTCAGTATACTGACAGCCCCACTTTAACACCGGTATTTGTGGTGTTCTAACAGGGTTTGACTGTATTAAAAGCGTAGAAATTACTTGTAAGTTCTTCGTGTTTGTTTGCCACAAGAATGATGAATTTGCGCAGTCCTGCTCATTTTAGGGATTTGTCAACGGTCAACAGAATTGTAACATGGTTCCCTGAAAGGAGGAGGTGTGTGCTCTTGTTACAGACGGGTTGGAGGTGAATGGCGTGATGCTGGTGTCTGCAGTCACTGATACAGCCTTTTTAAGGTACTTAAAATTCCAGAAAGTAGTTTTCATGAATAAAGCTGAATTTTTTTGAACATTCTGGTTCAGTTCATATGCCTCAGGTTTTCCAGGACGGTGTCTTTAATCGGGCCATAATGAGTTTATCATTCGCGTTCATTATCCCATTTGGTGCTGTATTACTTTTATAGTTGAGGAAGTGTTGTTAAATGAAATAAAGAAGGCCCCCTAGGATACATGCCTGCAGTACAGCCTGATTTCTTGCCATAAATGTTAGCGAGCAACAAAAACAGAAATATTTTTAGAACTTTTGTCTTTGTGTGTTTCGTCATTGTGCTTAATGAAGCTAAAACTCTCGTACCATTCGAAACAAATTAGTATGGTATAAAATTTGACATAAAATATTATTTGGATGTAGCAGGCGTTGTTATTTACATTTTGATTTTAACACTTTGAAGCATGGTTTTTATCTAAATAATTAAAACTTCAGTTCCTATATCCAAAAAAACAAAGGTCAGTTGCTTAACACTGTTTAGGAAAATAATCACTGTTTATTCTAAGAATCATGTAAAAACATATTTATTTATTCTTTTTGAAAAATCCATAGTTAATGAGCATTAATGAAGGTGGTAAATATACATACCACTGGGCTTTGAAGAGTACAAATCTCATAACCATGTATTTTTAAATGTGTCTTTGTATAGTTGTTTTATTTTTCTGTATATATAACAGGTGCAAACAACCACAAAACCTGGTGTGGCTATTTGCCAATTTTATACATCATTTGTACAATTCGCAGTCCCCCTCCAAATTATAAACTTTCTTGGTGTCTCTTAAGTACTTTGTGTGTCAGAACCGTTTCTTACTCTGCCCGTTGAAATCGGAGGCATAACGGACGACATTCTGTTACATGTGTTACTTATTAATGAATGGTGTGTGATGTACATTCTAAAATGTAATGAGCTGTAGAAACATTGTTTGATTCCTGCAGTTGTTACATCAGTATGCAATGTAATTTGTATTTAAGCCCAGAATGTTAATATTTTTATTACTGCAATATAGCTATAAGTAAAAGACAAAAAAAAAAAACTTCCAGCTTCCATAATAACTTTTGTTTGAGCTCGTTTTTGTCATTTAAAGTCCTCCTTCTGTAAATAGAGAAAAAAGAGAGAAAAGTATTGCAGGCCACAGACTTACAAATGTGAATGATTTGAGTATAAAATTGCCGGCCGTTCCAGAGAGAGTCATTTTTGCCAGAGCCATTTAACTCTACAAAACAAGTTTTGTAGAGTTCCTTAATAACATCATCTCTCATGGTACATTGATTTCTGATGATTCTTATCACCTGATGCAGCCTGGATTGCACCTTTAATAAAGGTGCACATTTATGTTGGTATGAGACAAAGTCATAGTTCTCAGTTAATTAAGGTAATGTTTGTTTTTGCCTAGTAAATCAGCATATACATTGATACTGATTGGACGCCAGAAAGCACATTCTTTTTAAGACTTCCCATTACTAAATAGTAATTTGTTTATAAATTCAGAGCTTGTGGCATTCAGTGATTGTTGGAATCTGGCAGTACTGTCAGTAACCCATAATGTACGAGGTGTTAAGATTTTGCCCACAAGTTTGGGCCAAAAATCAAGATGGAAGGATAATTTAATGTCACAGAGACTTAATTAATGTTCACGATCAGATAACTGCCATTTTGGACTTTCTGGACTTTGGCTTGATGCATCTAAAAATCAGTAATTTGACTCCTGACACCATCACAAAATGTTCTTGTAATATCAGTACAAACTAGATTGTACCGGTGGATTTTATTCCAATTGTGAAGACAGTGTACCTTGAATGTCTTTGATATTGAATGTGTTCATGACTTTTCAGAATATAGTAATGATACTGTTACAACAAATAAAGCGTGGCATGGTAAAACATGGATGCAGTAATTCAGTTCCCTGTTTCTGATCCTGCATGGAATTATGTTGTTGAGCTCCATATCTTGTAATGTCATAGCAAACTATGTTCGGTATGATTTGACTGCTTTCCGTTTATATTTACAGAGAAATGAGTTTAGCTATCTACTTATTTCGAGAACACATTTCTTAATGAACTTATTTCCAGGTCCACAAGGCATCCTAATTATTATTCTCGATAATGGTACATAGAGGAACAAATTTCCAAAAGCATTTACAAATTTTATAAATAATGTGTTGTTAATATTGTAAGGCTTCTTTAGATATGTTGAGTGTCTGTAAAGGTTTGAAGTGGAGTGTTTTCCTGTTTTTAAAAGCCATTTCCACCCCTGATTCACACTTAGTTAATGAGTTTAAAGGAAATAATCTGAAACAATTTTGAAAGATGCAAGAAATATCAGAGTATTTAAAGCAGCTATTATAATGGTAAGTCATGAAACATGAATTCAAAGTGCATATGGATTGAAGTTTTCAGGGTTTCCAAGTCATGTATTCTTGAACAGGTAATTATCAGTGTGGTTTGAGCCACACCTTCATATCCTATTTTTTTAAGAGCCATCTTAATAGAATCCTACCATCTATGCCTAGGTCTACCAAGTGATATCCTCCCTCCAGGATTTCTGATAAAAAATTTGTATGCATTTCTCTTCCCTTGCGTGTGTGACACGTGCCTCATCCTACTAGATTTGATCATGTTAATATTTGGTGAATATTATAGGTTATGAAGCTGCTGCTTGTGTCATTTTTTCCAGCCTCCTGTTGTTTCTTTCCCATTTGGGTCCATGTATTTACCTAAGCATCCTGTTCTAAAAATCCTGTCCTTTTTTTCATAATGTAAGACACCATATTTCATTCCCATTCAAAACAAATGGTAAAATTTGTTTTGTGTGCTTGAAATTACATTTTTAGATAGGAGATGTAAAGACAAAAGATACCTAACCGAATAACAGCAAGCATCTCCCGAACTTAACGTGCCCAGAACTCATCTAGTAAATTTCATTTCATTATACATTCTTGTCTGACGTAAAATAACGTTATTTAAGAATTTATAGAAATTACAGGAATTTAAATTGGCGCGTTGAGGTTAGTCGGAAGCTCGCAGTGCGCATGCTTGGCTAAGGAACGTCACGTGACCACCTTTGTGCAGCTGTTTAGTAGCCTTGGGTTCGCTGCAGTCGTCGGGTTCCCTTTGTCTGGAGGGACGTTGTGCCTGGGCAGGATATGTTTAGTTGATTGTGTCTTGGTTGTGATAATCATTGACAAGTGTGTGATGGATGCACACTCCTCGAAACAGGACACAACTGGCTGTTTATTTTATATCCTGTTGTCAGTTTATCAGCCTCAAGACCGTCTCTTGTGTGATTTTCAGGAGGCTGCTGTACAGACATTAATGGATTCAAGAAGGAAGACTGTGTAGTGAACAAGGGTTTTGATGTCTAGTGTTGCTTTCATTGTATTTCGTAAGCCAACCTACGTTTGTATAGTGTTGCCAATGGCCTACTGCAGCGAGTGTTAATGAAGGAAATGGTTCGGACAGCGGAAGAGGAAGTGGCAGTATGATACAGTTATAAGTTGTATGAATTAGGTGTGAACGGATAGTGTTTTGTCTTATGCAGATACATTGACGAAGATAATTTCGTCGAGCCAGTGAACTTTGTCAATGAAGAGATGATAGCAGTTGTTGGTTAAGAACTCATGTCTGTCGACTACGGACAGAAGTCCCACAGCTTTCTTGAAGAAGAAAGCGTAGTCGGGCTTACGGTAATCAATCAAATGCCATTTTGGTGACCACTGCGTTCTTCTCTCTCCCCGCCGCCCAGACTTTGTACCATCCTGTTCAGTTGAGAGCAACAACAGCAGGTTCTTAATGATTGCAACACCAGCGAAAAGTCAGTGTCAGTGAATTACAACTCCGCAGATAGGTTCACTGCCACTTCATGGCTGTTGTTGGTCCAAGTAGACACTCCCGAGTGTCCATGTCTGTCTCGATGTCACTCATGCAGGGCGGGGGCGGAGGGGGAGGACACCAACAAGCCATCCTTGCGGCGGCTCAACCCTACTATCACCCGCAACATACGCCAGCGACCCCGACGCATTCTCACACCCAGGACGTCCAGCCCGACAGGCCGATCGGATACGGAGCCTTCGGTGTTGTCTGGTAAGAGAACCAAGCCACTTGCTTTTACGTAGCGGTAGGCGTGTGAAAACAAAATTAATGCAAGTTAAGGGCGGACAGTGTGACAATACATCCGCCATTTCTATAAATTTCGAAAGCCGGGAGAGAAACATGTAACCGCCTCGTTGCATTCAGTATTTCACTGAAGTAGTTTTAAAAGATTGAAATGAAATCCACAGTCAATTATATAAAATAATTAGTTGTCTGGTTCATTTCCTATTCAGAGTGGACTGAAACAAAGAGATGCAGTATCAACATGACTTCAAATCACTTTTAATAGATCCAAGAAAAGCGGGAAGGGGGGAGACGTATTCTGGTTCATGTTGGTAGGTAGTGACAGGAGAAAATTGCATAATGAGGAGCTTTTGTACCATATTTTACCAAGGAGATCAGTCCATGGAGGATGAGATGGATGGGGCATGTAGCACACATGGAGATGAGAATTGGGTACATTGTGTTGGTTGGTAATCCTGATTGGAAGAATTGTGGGGAGTACTTAACCTGCTGAGTAACTGAAGGTATTTATCCTTTGTAGTTGTAAAGCAAATAACATGTACCATGATGGTCACTTCGAGAAATACTCAGCACTTGATTGGTTCATTATTTGAAAGTTTCCATATTTTTACTTCAAGCTTTCGTAAGGATCGGGTACTTCCTAGCGCTCCAGTTTTGTATTTTGAAATGTAACTAATGAACAGAACAAGCAGAATCTTTGACAGCGGTCTTGTAGTTGGTTACCAGTATTTTTATTCTTGAGGGCTCGTAAGCATCCACCCAACCTTTGGCATCACAGCCTAGACGCCCTGATGATGGAAGCAGTAGTCACCTCTGAAAAGAAACTAAGATTCTACCAGACTCTGTGGTGCAACAGCCATTTTCATTCTCACTGCTTTGAGGACCTGAAATCTCACATTTTTTGTGTTTAATCTGTAGACCAAGTTTGGCGAAGGTGCGCCATTGATCTGCGTGTTTCTGGAGCCCGCTGCTGTTAACAAGGAACTTCCGTCTTTGTTATGAGCTGAAAATTTGATTGTTGTTGTCTTTTGCTGTGCCATGACGAGTGTTATGTGAACATTTGTTTGCACTTTTGTCGTGGAATAGAATTTTTGACATCAATTCTGAGACGCCATGAAATGTAATCTCCACCCCAGTCTCTAATGCAAAAGTCACAACTAGAAAGAATTGAACCAAAATGATGGAGCCATGCGACTGGTTGTTATGAAGCCATAATGCTCACGGGTGATAAGAACATATCAGAATGAGTAATAAATGAGGCATCTCTGGCAAGGCACAATTACGAACAAAGACGATTCCAAAACTGTTAATACAAAGAAGTTTTATGTTTGAATATCGACATTTTTTCTCCCCTGAAAATCTATTTCTAAATCAAGGCGTCTTAAAATCGAGGTAAAATGTAAAAATGTGCATTTGTGTCAGTCATGTTATGTATTGGTGTCCTAGGACAGGCATTGACTGCAGTCAGCTGAAGGACACAACATGGCGCCTCACCAAATTGACCACATCTCTATAAATAATACCAATATGGCAGCCATTCAGACGTTATTGCCAACATTCCATGTTAGGTCTTGAAGTTCTGTAAGGTTGTCAGCCTTGTGACTTAATAAGGACCGTACGAAATATTTATTGAACTTCGTAGTTGTTTCGTGTTTGAAACTTTTTGGTGACGTTTAGTTCGCACAGCTGCTGGTGACCAGAACTCCACGCTCATGCATATTAGCAAAACCGCGGTTAAGGGTTCACCTCTGACCTCAGAATAAGTAAGTTAATTATGGGAATATGTTACAGACACATAACAACATTTGGTTTTCACACTGAGCATCGTACGTCACAGGGTTTTGATTTCAAGTGTAACTTGATCTCCGAACACAAGTTTGTAAGATTTTCTTTGCAGTCCAATGAGGGCGCTCCATAATCGAGGAGGGTTTTATTAGCTTGGGACAGGTGAGGAACGCAAAGAGAAACATGAAGGGAGGAGACGGATGGCTAAAGTAGGTTTCGAAGAGTGATTGACAATGAAATGAAGTTAATTGTTCCTCCTTCGAGTATGGACAATGATTTTTTGGTATTGTGCTCAGTGCCATGCTTTTGATCTCCATTACGAAAAGAATTCTTTTCAGACCAGAATGTGTTTTCTGGAGGGGGTGCCCTTCATTTCTGTACCAAAGATGTTTTTGTTGGCACAAAGAAAGCGAGGTTATAACCCGTGATGCAGCAGGCACGTCATGTGGACAGAGGAAGGGGGGGGGGCGGAGATGCAGCTGCTCGTATCTCTCCGACAGTGGTTGCTCTCTGGCTATGCGGGCAAGCTCTCCGCTCTGATGTCGCTGCCCTCGCAAGACCAAGATGGTCACGCACCAGCTGCCACAAGCCCAAATATTTCGTCGTTGGCACAAATTGAAACTGAAATTCCCGTCGTCTAGTTTGGGATTCTAGAATTGATTACGCGTCTAGAAACCCAGCTCATTACCTGACTAAGAAGATATTCTGCACGTTCTTCTCGCTACCCCCAGACGCATTGCAGAAACTTCTTGCAACACAGGCCTTGAGATGATGCCAGTCGCTCAGCTGGTCAACGGTTTCACTGCCCTTTCAACCAGAAGATTAATTAGTGTTCATAACAGCCCGCCCTGGGCGCATTCTTCTTTAAGGCTCATTTTGTTCTGTTTTGTTTATCAAATCGAATAATTGTTATGAACCGGGTATGGATTGCTTCAACGCTTTCGACAGTGGGGGAAGAAATCAGGTCCCCGTAGTTCGAAATCCAAAATAAAGACGCCCAGGCGGCGTCTCTTACCCCGTTTCGCCCCAAGGGACGTCGTCCATGTCAGTATATTTTTTATGTAACTCATTTCGGCGGGTCTTCCAGAAAACCATCAGGTACCCTGATGCTATGAGCTGGTGTGACGTCACGGGCAGGGTGGGGTATGGACGGGAGGCGTCGCTTGCTCTCGGATCGATGAGGGGAAGTGAGTGAGTGCGTGCCTCGGGATGTGACGCCTGCCGTCCTGACGCCGCGCTATCAGCTTGTACTCGGCTGAACCCTACTCGGAATCACTATCAGTTTCAACACTTCTGTTCTGTTTGTCTGGTCGTGGCAGGCCGACCCCGCTGTGGGCCAAAGAACCCTACGAGTGTAGTTGACTTCACACAAAGGGTCTGTTTGTCTCCAGTAAGTGCCGAGGGTTGAGTAACGTTGCCTGCATTGTGTCCCAGTTGCAGCGAAGTTTCTAGGCCAGATTTACTTACTAGGTATCAACTGGCTTTGGAGGGGGTGAGTTTGAATGTTGTCCAGGTACACGAGCGGCACAGACCGTCCTTAGAACGAAATAACTTCGCCTCATGAAAGCCGATGGCGGTCCATTACCCTGCACACTACAGCTAGCCTCTGCATACTTCGTGATTACAGTCCGCCCTCTGAGGGCCGTTTGCTCTAAGATCCATTTTCAGTCCTGAAGGCGGAGGCACGTCCGCACCCTTTACTACGCAGAGACCAATGCGGACGAGATCCATCTTACCTCCGACAGACTTTAGGATAATTAAGGGAAATAGCGGAGAAGGGTGTGGACTAATTTTATGTATTGTGTTAAGGTGAGGTGGAGGATCGCCTGTACTCCATGGAGTTACTTAGATATTGGGGAGTGGGTACAGGCAGACATTCATATTTTACCGGTTCTTCGTCGCAGTCCGAAGTGAAGAGAGATCTTACCACTTGCTGATAGCGAGGCCTTCAGAGCGCGTTATCAGCTGCCTCACGTGCGCTCACGGGACTGATTTTGTGGTGACACTGCGAGTTTCGTCCTATCAGGATGACTCACTTGGTCAGGAAGGGACTGGCTGCGTACGGCCATGTTGACCGGGGGTTTGGTTCCATGCGGGAGCAGTCAGACACTCGCCCCCACCTCGTGCAGGATGCGTCATAGGACCTGAATTAGGTCCAGTGAACACGGTTCGCCTCTGAGGTCTCGGCTGCACGGATGAGAATGGGAGCCCGACCTCCACTCCGACGCACGTCTTCTGTTGCCAAGGGAACACAAAAGTGGAAACTCGGCCCAGTGATTGTGTCGCGGTGCGGTCTTTGGAAGCTGCAGCCGGGGGGAGGTGCTTTTCTGAAGGGGGAGGTGACCTCAGGGGGTAGCAACAAAGTCTTAACAGGGGGAGTAGATGGCGGTGATGCCAAACTGGAGGCCTGTTTCTGATTTATACTGTAACCGGTGTTGCCTTTTTACGCAACAAAAGAGCTTGTCGTGTCTTTTTACTCGAGTACGCTGGTTCCAGTTGGCAACGGACTGTTCGTCATTGAAATCCGGACTTGATAGATAATACGCTGACGAAGCAAGGACACTTCTCTCTCTGTCTCTCTCGTTAGAAGCAAATTTCATGACGCCTTTGCGCCTAAGTCGACGGAAATGATGAGAAGTTGTACTGTTAACTAGATATTGTTTGGGTGATACGCTCGAAGTGATGGGTGGGACGTGTAGCACGCATTGTTGAGGCGACAAACTTTTAACAATTCTGAAGATGGCCGTCTTCTGGGCTGTTGCGGCGTGTAGTCTGGTGGATGTCCACGGCGCAACAGCCCAGAAGACGGCAATCTTAAGACTCACCGCCGTGAAAACCTCAAATCCTACGTTAACGACTCTGGTCGGAAAATGTAGAGGGAAGGGCGAGGGGGCGTGTGTGTGTGTGCCCGGACACTGAATTCGGCGTACGTACATTTTTTGTGAAGTAATACGGGGTACATCCTGGTTGTCCCCCCACTTTTCGGCTGTCATTCTTCTTGAGCGATGTTCAGAAAGCGTTGAGGATGGCCGGCCGGCCTACTTTACGAGTCAGCCACCGTACACCTCTGGGTCCAGCCCCAGGTTTCTAAATTGCCTTCTGTTTGTTTCTTCGTCTGACAACCGCGTGTTGTGGTCAGGCAAGACGCCGCCGTCGTAGCTGAGACGTTTACACACACAGCG